CTCTGTGTCCATGTTTTATGAAGAATATGAAGCCATAAATTATGTTTAGGCCCGTAAACTAAGCCAAAAAAGGCTAATTCGTCTAACAGGATTCCCCGAGTCGAGAAATAGACAGCTACCTAACCCTAACCCAAACTGGGACTAAAATGCGGTGACTGGGACCAGTATCGCAAAACAGGGCCCAAAATCCTTCCTCCCACAACCTCCTGCGGAATCAAGTCAAATCAAATCAGATCAAATCAATCACTTTGATTGTCACGCCACTTGTCACCAATACACAGGTGCAAGACATGTGAGTGAAATGCTTGTGTGCAAAGCTTCTCGAAGCAGCCATAGTACGACACGAATTAACAATCAAAATAAGTATAAATATATAACACATAAGACATTTGACAAATAACAAATACATTTGACATTTAAAACCCATCATGTCAGCCGCACATCATAACAACCAATCAAACAAACCGTAACACCTCGTCACATTATACCATGTAGCTACTAAAATGAGGTGAAACATATGACATTATCTTTGTGTTTGAATTCACTTTTAGTGTCCCTCGGTCAGCCTATAACTGCTTTTTAAGCAGGCCTTGTGCCCTGAAAGATAGAGGTTAAATGTGTCTCCTGAATGGACCCCGAGATCAGAAACAACCTGTCCTGTCCCTCCTTTACGCACCAGTCAGCCAGCAGCAGATGAAGATCCCATGATGAGTTTGCCTCTGTGACCCGTTCCGTTCGGAAGGCAGAGCGGACACAGCGCTGTCCACAGAGGGCCCTGCCCGCCACAAGATTACTGCTTAGACTTTGAAATCTCAGTTTGCCTTTAACACTCTCGGTATTTCAGCAGGAGGCCGACAGTCCCAGTGATTTACAAACTAAAATGTGAGTATAGGCCTCTGGTTCCCGGCTCCTGCGGCCGTGTGACGGCCTGCTTTCTCTACCTCATTTCAGCCGATATTCATGACAGAAACCTCTTAAAGTCTCAGAGCCCAGAGTATAATAGCAGAGATACAGGACATATTCATGCCATTTCAAGACATGTTAAGGCAGCGCTGGGTGTTGATTAAAATCTACCAGTGTGTGAGTGAAATGTTCTGCATAATGTTTATTTCAAGAAAAAAAGCATTTTTGTTTAAATTAAACAAAAATCTAAATTAAATCTATGATTCCCACCTAATGTTGCCTACAAATCTAGATGCCTTTTACATAATGAAACCAACAGTGTGAGTTGTGTTTATTAGGTACCAAAGCAGTCAATCTTATTGTAAGATAACCCCCTGTTTTCAATAAATAAATATATGAAATTAAATACAATAAGAATGTGACCATAATCGAAATAGAAGGGATCCCATGTGACTCGAAATTGCGTAGCTGCACGAGACCAACAGGGAATCAGCTGGGATCTTAAACATCCAGGAAAAATTCAATGAAGCCTGTATACAGGAACCATCCGGAAACAGGAGCTGCTACTTACGCTTTGGTTTGATTTATATTTCATTATTCAAAACATTTTAGAAATTAATAAGTATTTTTGATGGTTTGGACATAAACGAGAACACGGTGGGAATACAATTTAATCTAAGAATAACAGTCAGTTTAATGCTTTGTCTTCATTAGGGAATATAATGTCGTAGTAACATGGTGCAATATGGTGTAAAAACATAAAATGAATATGTTAAAATCAAAATCTATTAAACAAAGCATACCGGGATTCTCCCAGAATTCCAGGTGTATATTACTTACTGAAAGAAGGCTGTGGAATAAGCTTCATCCTGAATTAATGCCGAACTAAAGGCCTCAGCCTATGATAGAGGAAACGCCTCAGTACTGAAGGACAAATCTGCCATATTTATAGGCTTTATTGAATATTTAACTGAAATCTCGTTGTGTGTTCCTCACTAACAAACAAATGAAAAGCAGATACACGTTTTATTTCAGCTTCCCAAAGGGCCCTGACAGTGTAAATGGCTTTCTTGAGCAACAACAGCAGAGCTGAACTGAACTGCTCTTTGTTCGCTGTCAGCATCATCGCTAATTTGGGCATTTTTCTCTCCTGTCATTGGAGGGACTATTTATGGGTCTGACATGTGTGGCCTATATATCCTCAGGCGGATGCTTGTCATGCCTTTCGGTGGTGTAAACGCTCACATGCCCCATATTTATGGACACCCGGGTGAGATCCGCGGAGTTTAGACTTCGCCGTGTGTCTCGCCCCTGGTCAATAGCTCCGGTCTCTTTTTCCTGCGCTGCTACTTCCAATAATCACGGACGGGGCTTATTTTAGCAGTTGAATTACATTCCGGGCTCGGCAAGCAAGGTGGTCCACTACCATTTAGAGCGGTTTGAGCCCACAGAGAAACACGCGTGGGTCTCTCTCGAGGTTCTGCATCGCGAGATCTGACTCATATGTTCCAACCGGCCCTCCAGGTTTTGCAGATAAACAAATCCTCAACATGATCTCTGTCAGTCGTGTGGTTATATTTATTAAGGGATATGCCTTTGTTTAGCTTTTCTGATGTTAAGAAATATTATATTTTAAGTGGTTTGCTGCATCCAGGCCATGACTCCCTGCTCGTATTTAATTAATTATCCTGTATGGAGTCTTGGAGCTGGCTCAGTCCCGACAGTTCAGTCTCATAGATGAATGCCTTAAACAGGACAGCTGTCTCAACTCATCTGAGAGCGATCTCTCCGGTGTTGTGAAACACAACAGAAATGCTGGATGTGGTTCCTGGCGTCGCTTCCCGGGGACTCAGCCTGTCGTTCTGGGCTTTTCTGTTAAAAACCTGACTGTTGAAAATTACAGATTCCCGAACCAGATAAAGAGACGAGAATGAAGGTAAAGGGAATGGCGGAATAATTGCTGTTTTCATTCCTTAGCTGCCCAAGAATGTATTTGTCACTTTTAAAAAAAAAAATAATAAGTAGGCTTCCTTTTCCAGACTCTCCACCAACATGAATACATCTTGTTATGTCTAGAGTCCATTTATCTACATTGGGGTGGGGGAGGGAGCTTTGGCAGAACATGGGGCTGCTGCTCTTCCTTACAGCTGTAAGTGTGGTATTCACTCTTCCCCGCAGCACCACTGTCGTATGTATTTTGTGATTTACGGCACGAATCCCATCTGCCCATTTATTTTCACGTTCAGGGGACAGCTTTGGCCTGAGAGCCCTTCCTACCTGCTTTGACCTGCTTTGCATACCATTATTCCATGCCGTAATCCTCCTTCTGTTGCAGGAACACGCGGCAGGTGACACGGTGGTGACACGGTGGTGATGCGGCAGGTGACGCGGAGGTGACACGGTGGTGATGCGGCAGGTGACGCGGAGGTGACACGGCAGGTGATGCAGTGGTGACACGGTGGTGATGCGGTGGTGACACGGTGGTGACGCAGCAGGTGATGCGGCAGGTGACGCGGTGGTGACACAGTGGTGACACGGCAGGTGATGCGGCAGGTGACGCGGTGGTGACACGGTGGTGACACGGCAGGTGACACGTGGTGACACGGCAGGTGATGCAGCAGGTGACGCGGTGGTGACACGGTGGTGACGCAGCAGGTGACGCGGCAGGTGACGCGGCAGGTGACACGGTGGTGATGCGGCAGGTGACGCGGCAGGTGACACGGTGGTGATGCGGCAGGTGACGCGGTGGTGACGGACACTAGCTGGCACCCAGAACGTAACCTGGCCTGCTTTGCTGAAACAGCCAGCTGCATAAATTAGAAAGTATGTTAACTTGGATAAACAAGTGTCGGCAAAGGGAAACAGTAATACTGAACTTTATTAAGAATTTCAGTAAGTTAAGTTAGTAAAGGTGCATGATATATAGCAGAGAGAAAACTACCATGATTAATATGATTCTCCAGATTTTATTGATGTATATTATTCCATAGTGACTGTTCAGTCCCCAGTGTGTTTTTCTCCTTTTAGCTGAAGCAAACATTAACCCTTTATTGTACAGCACTAGGGCCCATGTAAGTCTGATTTGTTCTGACTTCATGAGTGAGACATTAAAGGAAATTTTGCTTCTGATGGAGGAGAGATGGGTTCCAGGGGGAGAGCATTGTTGGTCTTACTCAGAAAAGGGTAGGGCTGGAAAAATGTGCCCAGTAGGAAAGTTTGTACTGGGCAGGGCTGACTGGACGGGTGCTGGCTCGCTGGACGCCAGCCTCGGTTCTGGCCCGGCTGCGACTGCCCCGTCCATCTGCCCAGCGCCGTGTTCGCCGGCTCAGGGCTGTTCCTGACATCGGCAGGAATGCTGAGACCCCGGATTGGGAAAATGAACGCCCAGAAAAGCAGAGATCTGTTTTGATGATCTGATGATTTTCATCGGCGACAAAGGAGCTGTATTTGTGAAAAGGGCCGGTCTTGGCCAGCGCGCTCACTCTGGATCATGCAGTGTGGGTGTGAATACTGCTAAGCGTGCATAGTTTTTGTAAATAGAGCCCTGTGCTGAAGTGGTTGGTGAAGGAGTATCACACTGGGAACAATCACACTGTGTAACTGAGCCGCCGGTGTCCACCAAAGTGATGGGCTGCAGTGCGGTTGTGTGTGTTAGTGTGTGTGTTCATGTGCCTGTGTGAGTGTGTGCATGTGTCAGTGTGTGTGTGCATGTGTGTGTGTGAGTGCGTGTATGTGTGTGCGTGTGTGTATATGTGTGTGCGCAGAATGATCAGACTCAGCTCAGAAATAACGGAGCCCTCTTTTGGGGTGAAGCGTCACAGCAGGAGCTGTAGGCCGGTAATAAGACTCACGCCTCTCGCTGAGACTCACGCCTCTCGCTGAGACTCACGGCACAGCCAAGCTCTAGGCTCCAGACCCACGAGGCTCCTTCCGAAACGCTTCCTGCTGATTACAGGGCCTCTTTCCTGAGCTACACAAACAAAGGCGCCATTTTCCCACCAGTGAAGAATGAGAACCTTTTTTTTCTGATCTGTTCTGCTAAAAACATCCAACAAGACATTCAGTATAAAACCTCTTGAAGGATTTGGGGTCATTTCTTTCACAAAGCTTTTTTTAATGCCTGCATGAGTCTAACTACAATTAGAAAACTTCTGAAACATATACTGTACAATAACATGATAACAAATACTGATTAACCATATTTGCAAAGTTATATTTCAAAATGGAAAATCAAAAATATGCCAGCACAAAACAATCATCCATCCATCCATCCATCCACAAATACCATCACCATCTCCCCAGTCGCGGATCATGGCAACATTCATGGTCCCGGCTTAAAAAAATTCTGCTGGCTTTGCATGGATGTTTTATCCTTCCTATAAACTCTCTAGTCAGTAATACTAATGATCCTAATTACAGTGTTTTCATCTGTACTCTTATAATAAATAGCGACATCATATATATACAAGTGAAATATAAACATATTTTTCTGCTGCACATTCATTGCAGCCATCAGATCTGTAGTTCGCTATGTAAGCATATGTATGTATGCATATTTGTTACTAAAAGGTTCGGTAGGGTGGTGAGGGAGACTCGCCCTTGTCACTGTGTCCCCGTCAGAGCCATAGAAATGATCCAGTGGGTCTTTACAGAGGCAGTCTGCGAGCGTGTCAGAAGGCAGTCTGCGAGCGTGTCAGAAGGCAGTCTGGTATAAGCTTTTGTTTCCAAAAAAGCAGTGAGTCAGAGGTTTGACGCGTGAGCTCTGTTGTTTGCTCGCGAAGCTGAAACCTTGCATGGTGCCATTGTTACACCCCGCAAGTCTGCTGCAGTATTCTGCTGAAGGACTGAGACTTTCAGATCTGGTCATTTGTTTAACTACATCAGAAGGACATTGGTTCGCATCCCAGCTCGGGTCACTCATCCATGGCCACCACTTTGATCCCGTGTGCGTTGATGTACGTCAGGAGGACCTCGGCCCGTCTCTCGATCACATCAATGAGCTTCTCCACTCCCTGCCGGCCTCCCTGGCTCTCCCAGTACATCTGATCCAGGAACAGCGACTGGAGCAGCCTCTCGCGTAGACGCTGGCTCTGCAGCACGCTCACGGCCTGCTCCGGTAACCTGACCAGGAACAGCGCCTCACAGTGAACGTTTGCTCGCATTTAACAAAATGACACTGTCAGGGTGTGATTCCTGATCATCGAACTACTGGTGCCTGAATCACGCCGCCACTCTGCGTTAGGAGGACGTCCCCCGGAAACTCCCGCTCGCTCCTACAGCCCAAACACACGCAGGCTACGCAGAAACTAACAGAAACTAACACTCAGAACTATTTCTGATTAGCGTGTTGTTCTATAGATAATTAAGGTCAGACAGGAAGTCTTTTTCGTATAGCTGATGTTTGAAAACATGATTTAAAGCTATTAAACAGCTGAGAAATCATCTCTGCACAAGTAAATGTATTTTTAAAGGTTTTCATTCATTAGCACACAGTGGAAAATTTGAGAATTTATAGAGAATGCGCAAATTTCATAATTTACATGCTTGTCTTTGTGCTAAAATATGTAAAATGATGAAAGTTGTTGTTGTAAAATAAATCTCCTCAAAATCAGATCACAAGCACATGTGACCTTGACAGCTGGACATGTTAGCGACTGAGGCAGGGAACATTCTAGCTAACAATCCAAATCCTTTTCCCACACTCCGCTATGCCTTGATTTATTTATCACGTTGGGAGATTCTTGGGTGCAGCTCAAATCTTGCTGACAGCTCTGGCGTGATACTGCAGATCATAACGTTACATTCTCATGAGCACAGGAACACAGGGACACGTGAACAATGGTTCTGTTGAAGAATGAGACAATTCTACACACACACACACACACACATTATATCTTCATGGGGACTTTCGATTCATTTCTATGGGGAAAACTGTAATCCCAACTTGAGGACCGTAACCCCTACCCAGCCCTAACCTTAACCATAAGTAACCAAACTAAATAGACTTTTGGCATTTTTAGTTTTTTGATTGCATTCACAGGTCTTTGTGGAGACTTGAAAAATGGTCCCCACAACGTCAAAATAACAGGTTTTTATCACATTGTGGGGACCTATTCCCCATGCATTTGATTAGCATGTGAAAACATCCCACCATGACCTGACTGAGCGTGCGTATGAAAGATGAGAGGGGCTCCGCCCACGACAAAGGCAGGTCAGAAACAGAAGTGTGCTCATCCAATCCCTTCATGCTGTCTGCTATGTCAGAATATCTACTCACTCTTTTATTCCGTCCAACAGTTTAAAATCCAGATTGTCTTCGTTTCGGTCAAAATAGCCTTCGTTGTCGATGAAGACTAGACGCCTGGTGTCGTGCATTCTGTGGACGATGTGCACCAAGCTGATGTTGTCCTGCTCAGCACAATGCAGATGATGCCCGAGCTCCACGCACCGATCCTCCTGCTGCGGCTTGAACCCGCAGCAGTTTCTGTCCAGCCGGTTATAGATCTAGTGATAAACAGATTATCTTTCACATTTTATTCAGTTTTTATCCAAACTAAGAACGCAGGGTTGGGCAATCCCAGACATAACCCACTGAGCCACACAGTCTGAATGTGAAGCAGTATACAGTGATCCCCGGCTGTATCGCGGTTCAGTTATCGTGCCCATGCTGTAACGCCGTTCAGCTATCGCGCCCCCGCTGTATCGCGGTTCAGCTATCGTGCCCATGCTGTAACGCCGTTCAGCTATCGTGCCCATGCTGTAACGCCGTTCAGCTATCGCGCCCCCGCTGTATCGCGGTTCAGCTATCGTGCCCATGCTGTAACGCCGTTCAGCTATCGCGCCCCCGCTGTATCGCGGTTCAGCTATCGTGCCCATGCTGTAACGCCGTTCAGCTATCGTGCCC